GTCCTGCCGCGTGCAGCGCTGCGCGCGCCTGTCCCGCCGGCGCTCCCGCGTCATTACAACTCCTCCTGTACTAATCCCAAGTGCCGCTTTTAAAACCCGCTTTCAAACTCCCAATCAGCTTCGTTCAAATGCGGTGGTTTGGGCCACTCAGAGGCGCCGCTTTTAAAAAAATCATCCCTACCCATGGTCCCTGTTCCCATCTGTGCCTCATGTCTGTGTTGTGGGTGTGTGTGTTTTCGTCCTATATATTATGGCGACAGTCCCCCCATTTTTCGTGGTGAGACGTGTACTACACTTTTCAGCGTATGTAGAGTACTACACTTTCCAGTGCATTTTTTCCTACATCTGCAACCATCCACGGTCACACAGGAGGGGGTAAACACCAGGGCTTTTTTCTTCATTTTTATGCATATTTCTTTTCATGCCCCACCTTCCTCCTGCGGTGCGTGCTGAATGTTATTTTTATCGCGGGAAGGGTCCAGCCGTCCCTTTCCCTCGTCAACGGTGCTACAGTAGCGTCGTATTTTGGTACTCACGAGAGCTTCTCAGCTTTGTTTCGCTTTCACCCGCAAAGTTTGCAAAATTTTCACCCCGAAGGGATTCGAACTCACGACCTCTGCGACTAGCGGTTTACNCATTTTTTCCTACATCTGCAACCATCCACGGTCACACAGGAGGGGGTAAACACCAGGGCTTTTTTCTTCATTTTTATGCATATTTCTTTTCATGCCCCACCTTCCTCCTGCGGTGCGTGCTGAATGTTATTTTTATCGCGGGAAGGGTCCAGCCGTCCCTTTCCCTCGTCAACGGTGCTACAGTAGCGTCGTATTTTGGTACTCACGAGAGCTTCTCAGCTTTGTTTCGCTTTCACCCGCAAAGTTTGCAAAATTTTCACCCCGAAGGGATTCGAACTCACGACCTCTGCGACTAGCGGTTTACCAGGATATCACTAGACCACCGGGGGGACCGGTGTCTGAATAGTGGCCAAATTCGGCAACCGAAACTCAATCCTCTTGAGACGTCCCGCGCCAATTACTGATGCCCTTTTTCGCTACATGTTGCATCCCGACGCCCTGACATGCCTTGACTTAGGGGAAGACCAGCTGTGCGGTATGGTTCACGGCGGACCCATGTTGTGCTTTCTCACAGAATTTTGAACGTGAATCACAACCACGATCCGTGTATCTTCCGACATGCTTCTCACCCACGCGTTGGCAGGACAAATTCTTTTATTTCACCTTGAGACCACTCACCACTGAGCTTGTTCCAAGAGAGGTTAAGCTCTTCCAGGTTGCCGAGCTGTCCGAGTGTCGCTGGAATCTCGTCTGCATCATGCATGGTAGTCGATGAAATCGTGGGTATGGTGTCAAGGAGTAGATTGGATCATGTGTCCTGAGCCTTCTAAACGCGTGCCTCGCCTGCATATGTCCTACAACACCGTCGCACCCACTGCGTCGGCGGAACACACAATCCCGAAGTTTCCTCACGCCATTCTGTCAATTTTCATGTTCGATTTGCAGCTTTGAGGGCAGGACCGATGCCCAAGGAGCTGGTAGACCTTACAGGGCTGAAGGAGTGTTATCCGTGCTACAGTCAGCTTACAGGTAAAATGTGGGGTCGTATTCTCTTATTTTCATCTGGAAAGCCTGCCGCTTCCACACCACCTACGCACTCACGCCTAGATCAAGCTTCTAGAAGTACCGTTCCATTTAGGCATGGTGACGTTCTAGAAGCCAGGGGACTAGGGGACCCTACTTTCTAACAGGAGAACTCCGCTGATAAACGCATCGACTGTTGTAGCTACTCACAGGATCCACCCCAACAAGTCAGGAGCCCTTGCCGGACTCGCCCATCTTGCCCTGGCCAGCAATCAACTCAAAGGGTGAGCTGAGTGGACTGAAATTTTCCATGGCAACTTCCACAACATCACCGACTCCCCAACGCGAACGTGAGTAGGTGTTTCGCAAAGTGTTGGCGCAACACTTTCCAACCAACGCGTAGATTGTATACACCTTTAAGACGCCGCAAACCTCAAGATATGCCGACAGCTTATGGATCACTCTGCGTCATATTGAATCCGTAAAAGGACCTACATCGCCGGAGCATGGAACCTGGGCGATCTTCAACGAACTTTAACTATGTGCCATTCAGCTAAGCGCTGAGGTCCGATTTGCGTAGGGGTGCACATGACCCTCCGACCATCGCGTTGAAGGGGACACGTAATCAATAAACCCATACAAAAATATTTCTTGTGACATAGAAGCTGCAGACGTCTAAAGTATTATGCCCCGGCGTACTGCCGACGTAAATCAAACGACATTCGTGGCCTCATCGTACACACTCCTGCGATCAACTGTGGATGATGCAGCGGACAAGCCTACCGGGCCGAAGCGGAACGAGTTCGTAGTCGAGGATGCTCCAGAGTACGACAGACGAGGCAAAAACAACTGAAAAAATAAACGATACCGAAAATCCTGCGCATACGAGAGGAGCCAAGAAGTCAACAAGTATTTAGGGGTGTGCAGGGTGACACGTGTAGAAGGACATCTCTTTGGCGAACCAGGACATGTCTGACTTGTTTGGTTTTCCAAAGTCTACCTTCAGCGCGGATCTGCCATCGCGCCGACGTGTCTGCTCACGTCGCGAGTGTATCAATGTTCGTAGCTCGGATTGGCAGCCCTTGTGGTAAACTACAGATTTGCAGCGCGCAACATTCCCAAGGAGCCTCCGTTCTTAAAGCTCGGTGAGCGATGAGCAGCAGGCTTTTGCATGCTGCTGTGCGCTCCGATTGTTCAACGCTTCAACTACGCAGTGACGCAAATCACCACCTATGTGAGTGCGTGTGACCTCGGACTTCAACGCAGTTCTTCCCTAGCAAATCCTAATTGCTGCCTATTTGAGCCCGTAGGAAGGTCGCGGGTCATGTTTGGAAACGTCTACCCATGAGTGAAAGTGCCCGAAGCGTTCATAAATCGGGCCGCACCGCAACATCCAAAATCCTGTTCGGATAGCTCACCAAACTCCATTAAAAAGGGCTCGTTTCGAAGTTTGCGGGCCGCGATCTGTAGCATATCACAAAGGCTACCGTCGAACTACGAACATTGCACAATTGCGACGTGTTCGGATGGTTTGGCACGGCGGAACGGTCGTCCTGAACAGAGGATTTGGAACACCAAACTAGGCAGGCGTTTCCTGGTGCCGCACAAGAGATCTGCACAACTTCACCGCCTCCTAAATTAAGAACTTTGGTATTGGCCGTTCCTCTCTTCCTTCCGGATTGTCGCTCTCGTTGTTAATTGATTGGGCCATTGAAATGTCGCAGTCGGAGAATTGGTAAGGCCGCTTACCACAGGGGTGTGGGCGCATGTGTGCGCACATCTTGTTGAAACTTCGATAGTCAAATAGCGGTTACGAGAGACAGCGTGTCACACAAACCTAGCATGAGCAAGATCCGCTGCGTTAGCATCACACATCCGGGCACAATCCACAAAACTTCCTCCCGAATCTGAACCACGATGATACTGTTTCTCCAACATACTTCTCAAGCATTCGATGGCAGGACACATATTTTAAAGCCAGCAAAAGCACTTTCAAATATGCATACGTCCGCCCAAGATCAACTTACCCGTGAGCTGGTTGGAGTAGAGCGACAGCCAGAGCAAGTTGCTGAGAGCTCCCAGCACCGCGGGGATTGGCCCTGCACACGAATTACAGCCAGGGCACAGAGTATGCAGAAATGAATATTTTCGGAAGCATCCCGTCCGAGCTTCGAAAAACATGCATCGTATTGTACAAGATTGAAGCTTGCCTTGAGAGTGGTGTAATTTTGACAAACTTCGTCCACCTGTTGAAAAAGCCCAATCCCTAAGGCACTTTGAGAACCCAGCGAGCCGAAGAAGCTTTGGCTGAAACGAGCACAAGTTCACCATTGACGGGATGAATTCTGCGAGTTTGATATATATTTCAAAACCGCGTCGGCGCGGCACGCCTTCTTGAAGCCGTACATCTTGTTGAAATAACGGCGTGGAAGTGTCCACGCAAAACCATTTCGAACCTACCACAACGCCTATACCACCGGACATCAGGAAGCTGGGTGCTCTGCGACAGCTCTACCTGTTTCACAGTTTGCTGAGCGGTTAGTTTCGATTCACAGACCTCGACCAATGTCTATGGTGGGAGAACTGTGTCCGTTCTTGAAGACGCCATGACGTGCTTACCCACAATCGTGACAGAACAACAAATGGGCTTTTGACACGTCTCACCAGTGAGCTGGTTGCGGTAGAGCTCAAGTACCTGCAGTTGGCTCAGGTCTCCCAGCTCCTTGGGGATACATCCTGCCCAAGCATCACAGCAATACAACACGATAACTTCACGTCACCGGGATTGCAGAGATCTGCGACGCATACTCACCTACAAAATGAGTGGCTCACGCGTGAGGTGATTTGAATGTTCTAGAACCCGTGGAATTTTCAGCATCGTTCCCGCGCCAGGTTGGATGTGCTTGATCGCTTCAAGTTCCACCCCGCCGGGATTGGGAAACCTCGCCGCCCTGACATATGTACCTCGACTTTCGGGGAGACCAGCCAAGCGGTGAGTCACGACGGACACATGATATGCGTTCCCACAACGTTCTCAACATACCAATCAGAACCACGATGCTGTATCCTCATCATGATTCGAACCCAAGCGTTGGCAGGACAAGTGGTGTTCACCATGAAACCACTTACCGCTGAGCTTGTTCCAAGACAGGCGGAGCTGCTGCAGGTTGGCGAGCTGCCCTAGTGTCGCTGGAATCTCGCCTGCGCGGTAGAACAACAGGTGTGGTGAAATGGTGCAGTATAGATCGTATGTCCCGAGTCTTCCAGAACAAGTGCCTCGCCTGCACACTTTCTAGAACACCGACTCGCCCTCGGCGTCGGCGAAACACATATTCCTCAAGCTTCCTCACCCCATATTAGTAATTTTCGTGTTGATTGCTGCTTTATGATGGACCGATGCGCAAGAAGCGGGGGAGCCTCACAGAGCTCAAGGAGTCAATTTGTTCATTTGTGCTGCAATCAGCTATAAGGTAAAGAGGCAAGGTCGTACAGTTCCATTTTAACCTCCAGAGCCTGCCGCTTCCAGACCACCTGCTCACCCAGGCCTATCGAGCTTTTGGAAACGCCTTTCGACACAAGCGTGGCGATGTTCTAGAAGGCAGTGGACCGTACTCTCTACGCCGCGCTAAATTGTCTCTCGCTTGTACGAGTGAGTAGTACAAAACAAATGGGAGCCATCGACGGGGTGTGACAACCGTGTATGTGATAGCTATGGAGGTAATCCAGCTTCTGCCAAAAGTGCTGCTGCCGAAATCTCAAGGTGGGATGGTAGTCAGGGTGTGTGTGATGAGGTGGGTTGGGATGCATTTGCATGTTGCGAGCAGGAGGTGGTATCGGCGCACGTCGGCTCTTCGCACCGCACTGCACTTTTGGCGCGTGCTGCCACCGCTTCTCAGTAGGTGCGATGGCCACCGCCTGGATGTGCCAGCGGTAAGTAGTAGCAGCAGCAAGAGAAGCCTCCCGTTCAGAAGAATGCTACGCGGTTGGAAGAAAAGGACGTGATTGATCGAGCCCACACCGCTGCTGTCGAAGCAACGGAGGTCTGGTCGCCATACGGCGTGGTTTCCGCAAACATAGGAAGGTGTTGTGTGTGTTGCTTGTTGTGTTGCATCCACTGAGTACCACGTGGGTGACAGAACAGCCCCCCCGCGGTTTGCGCGATGTAATCTCGGTGTTGATTGTTGGTAACCCGGGTGATAGTTCGGCCGAAAGGTTTGCGTTCAAATCTTCGAGTATGTAACACCCAGTGAGGTGTTGGATTTGTTGTTTGGTTTCCTACGTCGTTTACGATAGACGGCGTGCGAAGTGCGGGCATGTACTACAAAAAAATCCATGACGGGATCATGTTCGGTCGACGAATTCTTGCGAAACACGAAGCACTTTGCAAGAGCAAAAGGTCATTCTTTTCAGAATATGGCCAAAGGCGACCTTCCAGGTTGTTGTCGCGAAGTTTGAGCTTCACCACTCTGCCCTGGTCGTTCACATCGACTCCGTGCCATGTCTTGAGATCGGCATCTGTGTCCCAATTTTGGCTTTCTCTCCAATTTTCCCCGCCGGTAGCACGATACAGGGCGACCAGTGCGTCACGGTCCGTCTGTGCCATTGTAGAGGGGGCCTGTGGGGCGTCCAACGAAACACAGTGAGAGGTTGCGGGACAACCAAAACAACTCGGTCGTGTTACAGCTGCTGCACAACACATTTTTTGTCGGACATCCATATCCTCATCAGATAGTAGAGAGCTCATAAAATCCTAGGATACAACAGACGGAATTGGATGAATAACTACAACAGTTAACGAACCGGCTCCCCCGGCACGTGCGTCCTGCCCACGTTTTCAGGCGTGTCGTGGAAAAGAAGACAACCTTTTCATATCGGCTAGCCTTGGCTGACCTATTCTCAACTCCGCGCGACCACCAGCTGAGGTCAAACGGCATTTACTGAAACACCCTTGTGTGACTGCGGGTGTGACGCGTGATAACTTGGCGGGCCATTCGTATTTTCCGTTCTCTTCTGCTCAGCAGGAACGTACAACATAAGATATCCCGCACACTTTCTGATGAAAAAAATACCTCGCGAATCGACTGCCTGTCTGTTCGGTTGTCGGAAAAAGTTGATGCTGCCATCCACGTGTCTACAGAAACACCTTGGTTTGGCAGGGTCGAGGCACCACGGCTTATTCTGTCGTCAGAGTCATGGTTCGCGCAAGATTCACAGAGGGTCCGAAGGCAGTTTTGAACAGAAATGCATTTCCATCCGTGGGAGAATGAACAGACGCGGCAACACATGTACTTTTCGTTGAGGGCGCCTGCGTCGCGAACGGCTCCAAACCACCTGCTCGATCTTCGCAGGAGATTGAAGCTGTATTTGGTGTGTTCGAAGGTGTCGGCTATTGTATTGGCTGTGTATCTGTTTCGGCACGCAAGGTCTGAATGTCGTTATCAAGTAAGATTTGCAAAACTCTCCCGCGCGGTATGCATGCATACGCATTCGTGAGACGTGTGCCGGAATAAGTTTCAGCGGTTTAGTGAAGGCCTGTTCACACGTCAAAAAATTGCACCTTTACTGAGGCCCTGCGAACAAAAGTTTCGGGGGGGTTGTTGTTTTCTTCACATTAAACTCTACTCAGTTGCTAATCCCAGAATCTAAGCAAAGACTCGGCCCGTGGTCACAAAAAATGCTAGAGCCATCAGAAGTTCTAAAGAACACATACACCATTAGCAAGAAAAGGGTACACAAGCCCGAAGAGGTACACCTACCATCCCTGCAGCACGTTTGCGTGCTCACAACTGACCTACACGCCCACACACTACAATTCGACAACAGCAGCAGTATCACCCCGCTTGTCCCGCACTTAACCAAAATGAATGTTTGTCGACTACAGCGCACTAATGCTGTCTGAAGAGCTGTCTGTACAACAATAACACCATGGTGCATGGTACACAACAAGCTCGGGGCATGCAGCTGCTGTCTTGAGTGCTGTCAGAATGAGTCCGTGGACATACATTGAAGAAAAACAACCGACCAAAGCAATCATTGCAATTGGTAATCGCCCGAATATATCCAGATCATCTGTGTTAGACAGAGCAGTATAAACATCGACACTGACTAGGAATCGTTCCAGATTGAAGGGGCTTTCCACGATGCAGGAACACAATTAAGGCACCCGGGTTATCCGCGCCATCTCTGCCGCCTTTCTCTACAAAACCAGTGACGTCATCACACACACCCAACCCCTACATTCAGGAAAAAAACGGAAAATAACTGAGGACACAAGAGATGTTTGTGCGTGCGCCATGGTTCGATGCCGTCCGCATGCTCCGGTTCCGCTGCACCGGTGCCGCTGCTCCGTTGCCGCTTCTCCGGTGCCGCTGTGGCCAGTCCTAGCACGACCAAACTCGACCCACTCCGCTTCGTACACGCTCTCGATGCTGTCCTTCCCAGTCGATTCCTCGCTTTCTCCCTTGTTGCACTTAGGGTTCTTGGTCTAAAATTCTCGCACCGAAGGGTCAACCAGCCCAATCAGCTCGTCACCACCTGTCCCCTCCTCCTTTGTTGGCAAAACCAGGTAACTGAGACAGTACAGCTCCTTCTAGCAAGCCTAGGGCCGTGTACATGGTGCCCGTCCACCTTTCTGATGGCGTCCGCCTCCGCGCACAACGATGCGATGGGCATTGCTGCCTACACCGACGGCCTGGAGGCCCGCGCATGCACTCTTGTACCTGGCGCACCAGTGCCGACCTACCTCCACCACTACGCATGCCTCGCGGCGGGTGCGCCGTAGCAAGAAGGCATCGGTCCCTTGAGGGTGTCAGGGACCAAAGACGCTGATTGGTCAAAAGGAAAAAACACGATGAGGCTTTCTCTGCCCGGAAAAGCGGGGCTTCGCCATTGAGTGCAGGTAAAACCAATTGCAAATTGAAATGTTTTTTGCTGAATCGAAGTACCAGAGTTGCACTGCGCCCCTTTTGCACCCCCCGTGATGAGCTGAACTCCCTGGCGCCACCCCTCACGGGACTGCGTGTGGCCCACTGGCCGTGCGGCACACACACGCATCGCCCACTGCCCGCTGGTGGGAAATAGCTGTGCTGCAATGATTCTGTGAGCGTGCCAACTTTCGCGCTGGTTGGCATGATGTGGAGATTGCTTTCCAGTATGTGCGATGATGTCAAAAGTCAACGGCCGATTGTGTGCAGCGAGACAGCCCAAACAACCAAGGTTCCCTTCAGTATAGTACGTGCTAAACGTACTTTCCAGTATTTCAGTAAGAATAGGGCCGTACTGTACTGTACTGGGGGTTTAGTACGGCTCTCGGTACTGTACTAAGCCCAATAGTACGTTTAGTACAGCTTTCGATACTGTACTAAATGTACTTTTGCGCTTACTACAGGTCTCCATACTGTACTGTACTGGGGGTTTAGTACGGCTCTCGGTACTGTACTAAGCCCAATAGTACGTTTAGTACAGCTTTCGATACTGTACTAAATGTACTTTTGCGCTTACTACAGGTCTCCATACTGTACTGTACTGGGGGTTTAATACGGGTTTTCGGCCGGTACTGTACTGGACGCAGTACAGTATTTGACCCACAATACTGTACTGTACTGGGGGTTTAGTACGGCTCTCCATACTGCACTAAGCGCAATAGTACATTTAGTACAGCTTTCAATACTGTACTGTACTAAGGGTTTAGTACGGCTCTCGGTACTGTACTAAGCGCAGTAGTACGTTTAGTACAGCTTTCAATACTCAAAACAACACTACGTTTAATACAGCAGTTGTTGTTGTTGTTGTTGTTGTCTTCACATTGAAAACCATCCCGGTCTCTCTATCCAGTACCTCCTTCTGTCTCAATCTCTCCGTACTAATCCAGCACTTACTTGACTCGGTACTCCATACCATACTCAAGGAATAGTACGCGTACGCTACAGTACTACAGCAGTACTACCGGTTCTCCCCGACTTCCACCAAAGGGCGTGTTGGTGACGCCATTCCTCGGCAGAAAGCTGTACAATCTCGTCATACAGTCCCGCTCATGCTCCGAGCTGCCAATACTCAAATACTGGCGTGCTCGCGTACTGAGGGTGCTGGAGGCTGAAGTAGTGGCCCACAGAGGAGGTGGCAGCAACGACTGACGCAACAAGTGGTCCCGCCGCTCCTTCCGGTGCAGGTGGTCCCGCAGCGGGTGGTCCCGCAGCGGGTTCCTCACAACAAGAGGCGCAACAAGACCAAGCCGAGGTGGTGGTGGCGGGCTCTGAGTGGAGGAGATTCGCAGTCGGTGAGCGTCAACGAACCCGAACCGGTCTTGACCTTGGGCGGGGCGGAGTACGTCGTGCGGGAGGTTACGAAGAACGCCATCGAGTCGTTCCAAGTGCCGGACGGTTTTTCAGCAGGAACGGACCCGTGAGGATTTCTTCCTATTCAACCTTGGAAACTACTGCGTGACAGCTGGTGTTGTGAGCAAGACATCAGCGGCCACAAAGCTTTTTACAGATGCCAGGTAGGCGCGTGCCGGACGGCGAGAAAAGGCAAGATCATCCCTTGCCCGAAGGGGAATAAGAGGACGTCAACAAGCACCATCGACAGGCGCACAAACTGAGGGGCAGCAAGGGAGACGGGAGGCAACAGACCGTGGAGAGCAGACAAGGAAACATCGCCGCGGCGATGTCGGCGGCCAAGGTTTTTGGCGTTGGAGCCCGAAGGTGTGTTCTGGAGTAGTGTGTGGTGATGTAGTAGAAATAGCAACTGAAACTGCAGGGGGTTTTTCGTTGTATGTATGCAGCAGTATTGAGTACTGCACATTCGGTACAATACATTTTTTTTTTGTTGGCAGCAGTATCGACTGTAGTACTGAGTACTGCACATACGGCAGTACACATTTTTTTTTTGTAGACAGCAGTATCGACAGTACAGCATTAGCATTGCGGTATTTTTTTATATGAAGTAAGGCAATATCGAGGGTAGTACAGTAGAGGTCCCTGTTTAGTGCCGGTTGAATGGTGCCGGTTGCCGGTGTAGTGCCGGCCAAATATCGGCGCACAGAACCCGCCCTGAACAGTTAGGGGTGTCAAAGCGGCGGAATTTCGGGCCAAGAAAACGTCTGGTCCATTCGGCAAAATTTGAGGGGGACACGCGGATTTGGTTCTTTTGTTGGTTCTTGAGAATCCCGCTGTTGTTGTTGTTGTTGTCTTCACATTAAAAACCATCCCGGTCTCTCTATCCAGTACCTCCTTCTGTCTCAATCTCTCCGTACTAATCCATCACTTGACTCGGCCAATTTCCGTGGTCACAGGCTAACGTACCTAGAAAAGGTATACCAAAATAAAATGGACCCCAAGGGTCAGCAGAGCGATAAAATACAAGAAAACAAAATATAATCAGAAACAAATAAAATAAAATAAAATAAATAATTAGACTAGTGGAACGGCCGCACCACCAGCCTGGGGGGGTAGCCTCCCACTACATGGAGGCAGGTCGACGGCCAAAGGAAGGGGCGGGGGTACGTGCCAGTAAAAAACAAAACAAAAGACAAAATAAAACAGAATAAAGCAAAGACGAGGACACAAACAAACTCGCACAGAGACAGGGATATCCCTAGAGACAGTCTGAACGCGACAGCAAACGGGGGAGAGGGCAACAGAAAAATTAGTCGTTGAAATTCGACCGCAACATGTCACGTCACGCGGTCGGTCTCTTCTCGCTTGCTTTCTTCCCGCCGCGCCGTTTCCTTCCGCCCCCCTACCGCCCCGTTGATTGGTGCCGTATCTAGACTATTTTTGGGCCCGCTGTCTCTTCGTTTGATGGCTCGTTGTCGGCTGGCCTCCTCCTTGCCCTTGTGCCAAGAGGCCATGAACCTCTCAGCTCCCTGTAGCACCCCCGCGTGCCACGGTACCCCCCCCTCCACCTTCGCCGCCTCACTCCAGACTAACTTCGGGACTCCGAAGACGCTCGGCTTGTCGGTCGTGGAGCCGTACCTGGCTTCGAACATCTTCATGTCGTCCTTCAGGCATGTCAGCCAGTTCTGCTCCGGGTTTCCCTGGCCCGGGTCCTCCCCTCCCACCAACTCGCCGAACATCAGCCGTTTCGGGAGCCGCCCGTCCGGCTGTCTTGCCACGGCCCCCGCAAAGAGCAGGCGCCTTTGACGGACAGTGGCCTCCACGCTCTGGCAGCCGACCCTCTTTAGCGCCTGGGCGTATGACAGCTGCCGGTAGGTGCCTCGCTTGCGCCGGTAGCCGCTGTTCATACTGAATAAACTATACATCAAGTCAATTTGTTTGTGCAGGCAGCTCTGCGTCCAGACAGCAGCATGGCTCTTCATGCGTTACACACTTGGACACAGGTCCAATGGAGGTGACTGTCGGGTAGGTTTTCTCTTTAAGTTAAAAGGGCGGACGAACAACACCAAAAAACATGTTTTTTTGGGCTCTTTGCTCCGCGCCCAAGGCGACCTTTGCTCCTCTCGTGAAAGCGACCCTACAGCCCTCTACCTGTGGTTTACAGCTATACCACACAACAAACCGCATCCGAATCACATCAGCCAACCACGAGATCTACATGTCTGAAAACTGCCCCTCCAGTGGGGCTGCAGCGCCCACACCAGCAGACCCTCCCAACAAAAAAAAAATCGATGTCCGCGCCATTCGGCAGCAGGAGGCGCGCTGCGCGAAAGCTGAATCAACACAAAACGAAGTTTGAAGAGAGGACGGGGCAGTGCATGGTTGCCGCGTCAGCAGAAGATAACACGCGGCGCGCTGTCGAACGCGGCAGCCTCACCGTCGTAGAGAGAACGCTGGAGGAAACGCAGGAGGAGTTGGTCAAAAGTAAGAAAATTGTGGAAGAGAGCCAAGCTCAACCTCGCTGCCGCCGCCGCCGCTGCTGCTGTTTTTTTCAGCAGCAGCAGCGGCGGCGGCAGGTGTCTGCGTGGCTTCACCGCCCGGCTGCTGCTCGGGTGTGTCATGAGGCATGTGTTCTAGAGTGGGAAAGCGCAATGGTGTTGTGCTGTGCCCCATAGCAGGCTGCAAAGCACACAGGCGAGCCGCGCCCTCGCGCGTGTGCGTCAGAGGGGTCTTTTCGGGAGGTTCCGACGGTTCCATGCAATTTCATTTGTTGGTCGATTTTCCATCAGCAAGATCCGAGGACGCTTTTTCGAATTTTTTCCGATAGGAAACTTTCCGCTTTGACACCCCTAACAGTGCCAGACCGGCACTATCCAGGGCTGCCCACTATAGTGCCGGTTCGGGCCCCACTGAACCCCACAATAGTGCCGGTTCAAGCACGCACCCACACACGACACACAAGAGACGCGCACAACACAGAAGACAGACACAGAGGAGAGGGTACACGTGCTGCTGCAGACCCGAACAGTTCTAGTGAGGGCGGGGGTTACAGCTACAGCGGCTGTTTGATTATTCTTGCATGTCCCGTTCTTGCGGTCGTGTTTTTTTTTCTTGTTCTGGCTACATCGAAGGAGGGTGAGGAGGAGACAGATCTCGCTTCCTCCTTCACCAATAGGTTGTGCCAGCAGGAGCTTCGCAAGAGTGTTACCGTCAAAAATCCATGAGCTTCACGATCAGTGGTTTGCTTTTGCTGTCGAGGAGTGATGTTGAGGTTGCGCGAAATGGTTTGATCCGTTTAAGGCCAGTGCCACGGCATTCTTGCCAACGAAATATTGAACAACTATGAGGTGCATCCGCGATATTCATGTGAAGGGTTTAAGTCAGGTTATGCAAGTGTGCAGTACGTGCGCTGAGGTGGGTACAGCAACAAGGTGCAGCATGTGTGTCCCGTAAAGTTAACCTCTTAAGCAAAACATGTGTGTTCGACAGGGCAGGAACCACCCCTATCGTGGCACAGCAGTCTGCCCGCGACGCCCATGCCATGATCTCACCATGGACGTTTCATGTGGTACTCTGTTGGCCCCGCAAAGCAAAGCGCTGCACTCTGAAATCACACAGTTCGTCAATAGTGCCGGCATGGCACAATTGAGGGATTTTCAGACCCTGAATTATGCCCCTGTGCTACAATTCAGGCACTCTGAAGAATAGTGCCGGTGCCCGGTATAGTGCCGGTGAAAATTTTGCGCACACCCCGGCACTAAACAGGGACCTCTACTGTACTGCATTGAAAAAAAACAAAAAGACACTCGGCACAGCCAGTTCGTTGAAGTTACGTATCAACATGTATATGTACCACGAGTAGCATCGAGTGGACAAGAGTGTGACACCCACGCAGAGTCTGATCTGTCCCTTGTCGCCGGTGTCGGTTTGTTCACAAAGCGACCTCTACGTGTGTGTCTGTGTGGTACTCCAGGGTCAAGGAACTGCAGGGGGCGAAGCTTTTCGAAAAAATGCTGCCATTTTCCTTCTCCTCCAGCGGGGAGATGTTCAAGGAGATGATGGCGACCGCTGCAGGAAACACGTCGTACCCATAGCTGCCTGCGGAGCGTCTGAAACACCTCCTCGTCGAGATGTACACCGCCACGAAGAAGATGAAAAGTTAAAAAAATTAAGTTGGTGAAAGGTGTTAACCCCTCTACGGCGAAGTTTGATTCTAAGCTTTAGTTCTTGCTGTCGTTCAAGTTACCGGTACAGTATCTGTTTCGTTTGTTCTGATAGCCAACCTGCTGTGTGTGTTTTCCATACCCCACAACACCGCCGTTTCACCGCAGGTAGTCATGAGCAACATGTCGGAGGAAGTAAAAAATGCACCTCTGCCTATTCCGCACCACATGATCGACATCTGGACTGACAAAGGATCGGGGCGCAAGTTCCTCGGTGTTCATCTTTCCCACGTGACTGCCAACTTCGAGATGAAGCACACCCTGCTCTCTGTGAGTACATGAACCGGCCTGGTGTTGGTTGTAAAACTTCAAGACGTGCTTCTGTTGAAACACGTGTGGCGCGTACTTCTTTCTAGGTATGGGTTAGTTTATTGTTTATTGAGCCTTCTGTCTTTGCACTTTGTTTTTCACGGAGAGATCGCAACGGACGTGCAATTAATTGTTTTTTTGTTTTCCTTGAGCACTGACCACGGCTATATTGCCTAACCTCAACACCTCACAGAAAGCTTGAATGCACCATCCTTTCTGTCACCTCCGTTTCTGTTCCCGTGCCTTCGCCCAGATCAAGCGCTACCAACCCTCCCAGGACGCTCTGGGGGAGGCGAAGGCCTCGGAGGTGCTTCTCGAGAACGTCAAGGCTATCCTGCACGAGTTCGGCCTGCGCCCATCGGACCTCGCGTCGGGTACTACGGACAGTGGATCGGAGGTCAAGTCTGTGAGCGTCAACGGCCTCCACCCGCAGTTTGGGGTTCTGTGGAATTGGTGTTTTTGCCACCTGATGGCCAAGGCCGCCGAGGACGGCTTTGGCACCCACGTCGACCCTTAGAAGTCCAAGGACTCGGAAGCGCATGCTCAAGGAGCTCATCAATCTGGTCGGGACCCTCCACAGGTCTTCCAACTTCAAGGCTAAGTTCGACGACCTTCAGGTGGACGTGTTGGGCGAGGTCTTGAAGATCCCCGACCAAGCTCCTCAACGGTGGCTCACCCTGGTTCGCACATTGGAGCGCGTCGTCCGCTTGTGGCGCGTCCTGAGGAAGCTCTACAGCGACACGGGGAAAACGTTTCCACTCGAAGAGGGGGACGACAAGGACTGCATCCTTCAGCTCTACTCGCTGCTGCAGCCGTTTCCCTCCGTCACGCGTGATGGTCAGTACGGGGGTGCGCCAATGCTGGCGGACATCTACATGAAGTTTGGCATGCTGAAGATGCGAGTGCTGCACCCGTCGGAGGAACTCAAAGTCTTCGACGTTCCGCCGCTTGGAGAAGACGGCCTCCCGGAGGAACAGAAGAAAGCTCTGCCGCAGAAGATGGTAGCACACGACGACTTGCACCCCGTGGCACAGAAGGCGCGCAACAAACTCTGCCGCGCGCTCGTGACGAGATTCTACGGTCGTGTGTGGGACACATCTACCCTGGACCCCTCGGTGTTGTGCGATGCTGCCTGCCTCCTGACACCGCCTTTCAGTGAAGGGAACTACCTTTCCGCGATGAAGCTTACAGCAGAGGGGTGCGAGTACTTGCCCACCGGGTCGTGCGTGACGGCCCCTACGCCGGACGAAGAGGTGCAAAAGAAGCTGGATGGAGCTTGGGCCGAAATCAAGAAACGAGCCGTCGCAGCCGTGAAGACAGCGCAGAGTAGGGCCGCGGGTGGCGGTGAGGGCGGGGGGAAACGTCCTCTAAAGCGCGCCCGCACTAGCGCCGCGGGCTCATCTCGTCGCAAGAATCGCGAGGACGCCTTCGCAAGTTTCGGTCGCAACGAAGTCGACCCCCAAAGCAGAGAAGGAGATGTGGACTTGGTGGAGAAGGAGGTCTCGAGCGAGATCATGCGGTACAAAGGAGTCTTCATGTAGTCAACCGACGTGAGTACGACAAAGACTAGACTATTGTACGTGTGCGTGCTACTGTTTGGAATTTTCATTGTTATTTTTGTCCATGTGTTGTCGCACGCTGCGAATTTGAACAACACTAACAACACAAATCCTCCCGATCCTGCGGCCCTTCCGTGTCCTTCACCCTTCCAGTTGCCGCCCAGCGAAGCCCTCAACTACTGGAAGGTCAAAGGGAAACATTCATTCCCACGATTGGCCGTCGGTGATCGGTCCTGTGGGAACAATGCTCCGTCCTCTCGAGGACGCGTGGTCAATGGTCTAACCGCTAAGGCATGCAAAACATAAGAGTGCGCCCCCNCCCCCCTCACTCAAGTATGTGGCACAGCAAACATTCGGCAGTCAAGCCTCTGCCGCGAGAGAGACTTCAGCCACTGCGGCCTTTTCTGTGGAGGGAACCGCAGCCGAGTAGACGAGTACTGGCTGGAAATCGTGATGTTCCTCAAAGTAAACTACTCGTTTATTCCCGAGTACAAGGACATCCTCAACATCGACGGGAAGGACATAAGGAAGTGCCTCCCTGCAAAGTTCAGCGGAAAAATGACGATCTCTTCAAAGCAGAGACGGCGCTTGACCCGCTGTCAAACACCACGCCCCCTACGGAGGATGTCATTGGCGTGGGCGAGGATGGGTAGATGGGTAGTTGCTTGGTAGTCTGATCTGAATTTTTTACGATCAGTTGAAGACGAGGATTGAGGATTTAGGGTTCGTACTCTTGAAGTACGTTTGAAAGTTAGGTTGTTGACTTGACTTGACTTGACTTGACTTTCGACTTTGACTTCCGCTCTTTTTTCTTGTTGTTGAAGGTAGTGAGTAGCAATGATTGCGAAGACGGAGGGACGGGGCGAGGGAGCATCGGGAGGGTTGATCCAAGCAGCGTGTACCATGTTTATGTTTATGTTCAACCGAGAGTTGTGTTGCAGGTGCTTCATGCATATGCATATTCATATTGCAAGTACGGCTCTCGGTACTGTACTAGGCGCAAGGGTACCTTCAGTAGGGCTCTCCATACTGTACTAAATAAGCGCAATATACAGCTTTCCATACTGTGTCCACGGACTCATTCTGACAGCACTTCAGACAGCAGCTGCATGCCCCGAGCTTGTGTACCATGCACCATGGTGTTATTCTTGTACAGACAGCACTTCAGAGAGCAGTACGCTGTAGTCGACAAACATTCATTTTGGTTGAATGCGAGACAAGGGGGGTGATGCTGCTGCTGCAGTCGAATTGTAGTGTATGGGCGTGTAGTTCAGTTGTGAGCATGCAAACGTGCTGCAGGGATGGTAGGTGTACCTCCTCGGGCTTGTGTACCCTTTCCTTGCAAACAGTGTGTGTGTGATCTTTAGATCTTCTGATGGCTCTAGCATTTTTGTGACCACGGACCGAGTCTTCGCTAGATTTTGGAATTAGCAACTGACGCGAGTTCAACGTGAAAAAAAAAAAAAGAACAACTGTACTCACAACAACAGTATGTTTGGTACAGGTCTCCATACTGTACTGCTGTACTGAGGGTTCAGTACGGCTCTCCATACTGTACTGAGCGCAATAGTACGTTCAGTACGGCTTTCCATGCTGTACTGTACTGGGGGTTTAGTACGGCTCTCCATACTGTACTGAGCGAAATAGTACATTTAGTACAGGTCTCCATTTTGTAAAGTACTGGGGGTTTAGTACGGCGGCTCTCGGTACTTTTTCTTTTTTGTCTCCCATCATTGGACTCTGTTGTCTGCCCCTCTGGCCCCTATCCTCCACTTCTACTAGCTAGACGACCCAACCGGGGTCACATAGGAGGGGGGGGCTGGACCCCCTCCTGCGGTTCCTGCCTGAGGTATTTTTATCGCGAGAAGGGTACAGCAATCCCTTTCCTCGCGACTGACTTACGAAGTCGATTATGGTTTACTAACAACGGGCTTTGCAGCGCGTCGCTTTCATCCTTGACCAGGATTAATTAGGAGAGAAAAAAAGTCACTCTGCCGGGACTCGAACCCATGACCTGGCCCTTAGCAGGCTGCGAGGTTACCCAGCAGACCGTCGGGGCGACCGGTGTCTACTGTACCGAGCGCAAAAGTATGTTTAGTACAGCTTTCAAGACTGTACTCAAAACAACAGTACGTTTAGTACAGCAGTACTCCATACTATACTGGGCTGAGTATAGTACTCAGCCCTCCCATACTGTACTGTACTGGGACATTGTCGTGCAATAAGTCAACCCTAGGTCAGGTCAGGGTAAGAAGACTTGGGGTAGGTTAATCGCAGTATATATGTTGAGGCGTGGTGGAATGGGCTTGAAAATGATGGCTCTGGGAGCAGGGTTGGAGTTACAGTCGTCCCCGCTTTAAAGACGCATAGCGTTTTTTTTTCAAAGCGTCTTTAACGTGGGGAATCGTCTTTAAGATTCCGGGGACGATAACGCACCACCCCTGGGGCCGATGGAGGCATAACATACATCAAAAGACGCGCCGTTGCAACACGTAACTTATAACGAAACGAGGATCCATAAATCTGACCGCTCACAACGTAGCCGTGGTTGAAAGTGGAATGCACTATATAAATATATTTATATATTATAAACCATGTTTTAAGTTACCGCGCCACCGCCCGCAATAATATGCTCCCGACATGTGGGTTGTTGCGGGATATAGTTTTGTTATGACTGCAGTGCACTCTCTCGGTTGTGTGGCGACTGCTGCCTGCTGTGTTGTTTTTATTTTCTTCTCGTTTTCCTGATGTTGAAAACCTCACCGACACATCCTTCACCACAGCGGTTCCAACTTTGACACGATACTTCAGTATATCCTAAGCGATAGAGACACAAACACCCTACACACGAAACTCAGATGGACATCAACGCTAAATTATCGGTGAAGATGAAGCAATAAAAAAAAAGAGCCCATCGCTGTATGCCCTCCGAAAAAAAAAACTATCGCCCCCACATATCGCCAAGAGTGGCCTGCACCTCACCCCCCTGCTTCGCTCTTCGGTTGACTTGAGTTTCGTGAGTGAACGAATGCACAGTCCTCGAAAGAAGGTACAGCGTTTCGCTGTACTCGCCGTCCTTCCCTTTCGCATTCAAAAAGGAGCGGCACTCCTCGAGGCGAAAGCGGACGTCGGCCTCTGTAAGCGACGTTGTCACGCACGACTCTGACCTACCGTCGTCGTCTTCCTCTTCGCTGGGTACATCGTCATCGAGGGTTACGCCGGCCAGTTGCTCGTCTACAGCCTGCAGTTCCATTGCTATTTCTTCCTCCAACACCTCTGGGTCGTCCTCTACACTAAGCCACGTCTTTACTGCCTGACGCACTTCAGCGTCCGTGAGGCCTGAGGCTTTCTCGACGAACAAGTTGTCCGTCAACACTCGCGCCGTGGATCTAGAGTCCGTGGCGCTGGCTGGCATAGACATCTTGGAGACCATTTCGCAGAGGTCGTCGATGATGGCCGTGTCCTCCTTGTCCTCTCGGTCCAGCCGCGTGTCCTTGCCCTTGAGCGCGTTTTCGTGCTCCCTGGGAAGGATGTTGGCCTTGAGCCAGCACCTGATGACAGTCTGGCTCGAGAAGCTCTCCCACTTCTCCGACAGAATCTCCGTCACATCCAGCATTGTCGCCTGGCCCGCATCGTTCAGGCCCCGGCAGCCCCTGCGCAAAAGTACAAAGAGAGGAAAGCATGTCGAAAGGTGAGAATCTATCAATACGTAGAGGGTGGGTTTTGGTGCGAGGGTTTTTTCCGGCATCGGTGACGGTTTTACTGTAAGGCAGCACCGACGCATAGCACTCGCTCGGATAGAGTAAAACGGTACACAACTGCAGCAACTTGATGCATCATCACCGCCGTTAAATACAACTAAAACTACACTGACACCTACATACCTTCTGATTTTTCGCGCGCGCACTGCGTCCCACACGTCGATGAGATCCGCCAGTCTCGCCACCATCTCGGTCTTGTACTGGCACTTGAGGGCAAACAGGATCCCCATGTCCATGGGTTGAAAGACGGACGTGACGTTCGGGGGCAGGAAGATGATGATGATCTGCGGGTCGTCGTTCTTGATCTTGTGGCCTGGGCAGTTGTCCCACAAGAGCACCACCTTCTTCCCAGTGGTCTTCTTCACAAAGGGGACGAAAACCTCGTCGAACCACCGCTGACAGAGTGTTGAGTCGAGCCAGGCACTTTGCTGGGAGTAGTAGGGGATTGGTGATCTGCGAATATGCCGGAAAACCATCGGGTTTTTTGCCGTGCTGATAACGGCCAGCGGCACCTTGAGCGACCCGGTGGTGTTGCAGCAGGCGACAACTGTGCATCGGTCCTTGGCCTTCATGGCCTTCGAACCTCGTGCGGTTTTCCTGTTGACCCCTGCAGCATCCTCTGCCCTCGTGACATACGTGCCTCTCGGGAAACAGCGGAAGAAAAGCCCCGTCTCGTCCATGTTGAAGATGAGCTCGACGTCGAACCCCTCCAGCTGCTCCCGGATCTTCGCGATCTGCTCCTCATACTTCGTCTTGTCCACGTCGCCAGCTTCGCCATGCAGGTTGATGTGCTTGAAGCCGTAGCGCTTGAGGAAGCGATGTAGCCAGCCCTTGCTTGCCGTGAAGTCCTTCTTGCCCATCTCCGACGCGAACTTTGTTGCCTGGGTCTGGATCATGATGCCGCTCAACCCAATCTTGGTTGTCTGTATGGCAGTAAATACAGCAGCAGCAGCAGCAGCAGCAGCAGCAGCGTATTAACGTAGTTAGTTCTTCCATCGAATCTATTCAGGAGGTCAGGTGAGCCAGGTTGTCTGCGAGAGAGAGGGACGGGGGGGGGGCAAAGAAATGAACAAACAAAATTGCAAAATGTAGCTGCTGCTGTGAAGCCGAATGACCCTTACCTCGAATCGCGCTCGTGCCACCTTGATCCATTGGAGCAAACGCTTTTCCAGATCGTCGTGCACGGGCGTTGGTGTTCGAAGGGCGTCCAGGTTGAGTTCCGAATCGCGGGACTTGTGAAGCTCGGCCAACTTGTCGGGCTTCATCAACTTGCTGATGTACGACGTCGTGACGCCGTACGTGGCCGCCACCTTGCTCCTTTGTTTGCCAGCCTGGACGTCCCTAACTAGCTGTAGGCGCTGGCCCGTTGTGAGTTTGTTTTGGCCGTGACCTGATCCGGGCTTCGCCTTGCCTTTTTTGGCGGCGGCGGCGGCGCTCCTCCCCGCCCCCGCGGCCGCGTGAGGCTGTTTCCTCGCGCTGGCGCCCGCCCCCGTTGCAGGCGCGGTAGCCGCCCCCGCTGCAGGCGCGTTACCCGCCGCTGCGGTGGCCGCCGAAGGTGCAGGCCGTTTCCCTGTGCTACCGCTCGCCCTTGTGGTAGCCGCAGCAGGCCGTTTCCCCTTTCCTCGAACAGGCTGTGTACTGCTGCGTGGTACAACAAAGTGGAAATTCCAAAGTGTGGACACGAGGTTAGATTTGCTGTCTGCTGCAACCGAAAAAAATCACGGCCACCAGAATTATCTCGCAGGGAACGAAGCAATATGTGGGGAGAAGATGCAGCATTGTAGACAGTCCTGTACAACATACAATAGACAGATGTCCTGCAGCGTTTTCGTGTGATACACAACAGTTCTTTGTGGATAAGTGGGCGCTGCTGCTGTATGCGTGCTCCACAACAACAATAAATACTGTTTGTCGTGACACTACGGACGTGTTTTTTTTTTTTTTCCCCTATGTAACGCTGATCAGTTTTTTTGTGAATGGTTTAGTGCTGCTGTAGATAGATGTATGTACAGGCTCCGTGGGTACAGTATTTTTTTTTTTTTGTTGTACATCACCTGTTGGTCTGCTCGTTGTCTTCGTCATCGTCTTCCACTTCCATGGGACTCCTGCTGCTGCCGGTCTTGTGTGTTCTCCTCTGGCAATCAGTGCACATTCTCTGCTGCCCGTAGCCTTCCTCTCCGATGCCCACACCACAAAACGCATGCATGGCTCGCCCGCAAGGGCACTGGTGAATCGCTGAGACCAGGCGAGACTTCATCTTGCATGTTGGCTCACCACACGTTGTCGTGTGGGCGGCAGACGGACCGTCAGCAGACGAAAGGAATCTATCCATATCCACGCAGTAGCGGTTGCAGCAGCAGCATCAGCAGTGGCAGACCGCTCTCTGTGCAGTTCTACAGGTGTGCTGCACGATTTTCTGGGGGGCCCCGCAGTATATAAAGTACACCCCCCCCTCATATTGTATATCTGCGGGGCACCATGGTCCGGAATTTTTTTCGTCTTTATCGCGGGGAGTTGACTTGAGATGAGCGTCTTTAAAGCGGGAACGACTGTAGGTCTGGTTGAGACAACGTAAAATAATAACATGAAAAGTGTATTGAGTTGGAGACTAGAATTGAGGAGGTGTGGGTTTATGATTGGAATGATGAGCTTTTGAGGGAATTGCAGTTCGTTGAGAGAAAGGGAGAGAGAGTTGGAAAGAAAGTGAAGCGGCGCAATTGGATAGGTACAGGTGAAGCCGCGCAATTAGCTCGCGTCAGCTGATGTCGCGTGTCGCGTGCCCCCCTTTTTCAGTGTGCAATTTCCCTGCTGTTCCCGGCACACGAAGGCCGAAGAAACGTACTTTGATCGCAAGCAACTTCGAGACGCGCAAACCCACGACCCCACTGGCACATCTACACACATATCTACGTACGATAGGCCACCACCGGCCGATTTTATGTCAACATTAGTTCGGGTTTCGATACTGTACTAAGCCCGGTCGCCCCGGTGGTCTAGTGGTATCCTCGTAATCTGCTAGTTGCAGTGGTCGTGAGTTCGAATCCCCATGGGGTAAAAAAATTAAGAAATGTGCGGGTGAAAGCGAAATATGGCTGACAAGCTCTCGTGAGTACCAAACTTCGACGTTAGCACCGTTGACGAGGGGAAGGGACGGCTGGACCCTTCTCGCAATGAAAATATAACCCAGCACGCACCGCAGGAGGAAGGTGGGGCATGAAAAGATTTAAAACAACAGGAGAACAAGCCCTGGTGTTTACCCCCTCCTGTGTGACCCTGGATGGATGTTGTACGAAAGAAAAAAACACACTCTACATACGCTGAAGAGTTAGGCTTGTGCTCGGTAGGCGTTTTTTTTTTTGCTCTTTTCAGGCGTTAAAAAAAAACATGGGCGAAGGTTGCACGCTCAAAAAAAGTTTTTAGGCGACATTAGGCGATTAAAAAAAATAGGCGGACCTCGGAGACGATAAGCGAACCCCAGAAAAGCATGTTTTACGCATAATTTCAAGGGTTGTGGCGTTGTGGCACTCATTGCACATAATATCCAAGGGTAAAAGCGCAGCAGCATTAGTACTGCTGCGTCACAACGCGAGGTAGTGATGCCGCGATACAATCCGTGCATTATGCCGGAAAGGTGGTACTTTTCTTTGGCCAGGTGATCACACACGCACACGTGAGAGAACCACAACATGTAGACTAGTACTGCGTAGTGGCTTAGTGGTGGGTGGATACAATGTCGGGCTTACGCCGGCAGGCGTTCTCCTCGAGGTTATCTAGCCCGGTAGTAAACAATCAAATTCCACATGCTCACATGCTGCACCATCGCCATTCACGCCACCTCAACAAAACACGGAAAGCGAAGGTGCGAACGTGATCACGAGATATGCTCGAGAGCCGAGAGTGTCGATGCAACGTGTCACGGTGGAATACTTCAGCCGATGCCCCCACAAGCACAACCTACGAAATTGGACTAATTCTGACCAGCCCCGCCACCCGGCACATCCACTTCTTCCGGGTCATGCACACGGCGCGCGTGCTGTGTGCTGTGTGCTGTGTGCTTTTAATATTAGCATCGACCGCGCTAGTGCTGTGTGGTGTATGTGCGTGGGCGCGGCGGCTGGGCGGCGGCACTGTGTGGGGCTCCGTGGACAATTCGTAGAGGGGTGCCCACAAAGAGGATAGGCGCCAGCGGCGGGAAAGTAGGCGCAAACACCCCAGGGTAGGCGCAGGCGCCCCGAGAATAGGCGAAGGCGCCCCGAGATTAGCCGCAGCGGCTGGCGTTTAGTCGAGCTTTTAGGCGATTTATATAACTGTTGTTTTTAGGCGCAAGCTCTCGAAATTAGGCGTTCTAGGCGAGCGCCTACCGAGCACAAGCCTTTTGAAAAGTGCAGGACACATGACACCACGAAAAAATGGGAGGACTGTCGCAATTATAAATCGGACGAAAACACACACAACACACACAATACTGATACTGTACTAATGGAACCTTTCTGGAACAACAGCAGTTCCAGAGCAAGTCTGAGGATAAGGCTTGGACCGCTGGCACCGCTTGCTGATGCTCCGCTTCGTGTGTCTGCTAATATATTACTACAGCTGCCGTGTGGTGCACATGGTCTATCGCTCTACCTGGTTGGATCACCACGTCACCACATCATCTCGCGGCGGCAGCGACTCCGCCGCATGTAGGTGTTGCTGAACTGCGGTGTTGCAAGCCCTTTTTGGCGAAGGATTGGGCCATCCATTTTAGGTAGACTGCTGTGACAGAAAAAAACGTCAATACAGGCCTTACACGCGAGACACGTCACAGGACACGAAAAAGCACGGGACCGAATAAAGTGCCCATGCCGGGCAATGCATCGACTTCAGAAAGGTGACGGCGTGCATCCTGTCGCGCACACTCGTACCCTCTCCACGACCTCGCCTGCCTGCGTACCAAAGCCTGTTGTCGTGCGCACTGCTTGTGGTATGTGGTTTTCCCGCGAGATGTAGCAACACTTACCCAGCAGTCGACGAACGTGGTGTAGAGCTGGACCCTGTCGTCTTCTTCGTGGCACTCGCCGCTGTCTCCTTTGGCTCTTTTGCTTTTATCGTTTGTATCGATGAACGCGCACGGTCCTCAGCTCATGCGCTGAATCATGGAACCGCAGCTCCGGCAATCAGGGGGGCCGTCTATTGAGACAGACGAACACTACCACGTAGCCTCATCCGTCCGTCCCAGGATCCCGCGCCCCTTGATCTACCGAAGTATTAATCAATACTCCATACTGACATATATTATGTCATGTACCATTGGTATTAATAGCACACAAATCCACCACACACTGACACTGCTGTTCAAGTCCCATATACATCTACAACGAAGGCGACCACCGAGACAGAGCCCCACCTAGCTCACCCTTCGCACGTTCTTCCGTCGAACGGCCGGGCGCGTTCTTCATGGCCACCACCAACCAGCTCAACCAGCTCCTCCTCGTCGGCTGCGTCTACCCCGGCGATATCTGCACGAGTCACTTACACCGCCGGAAGCGTTGCCGGCTGGCCTACACAACAACAGCAGTTAGTTATCACAGGACACAATCCACTGAAGACCGTCGGATGGTGCCATAAACTGAAGAGACTAGACTACAACTACAGGCAAATGGTAGTCTACGCCTTCCTGTAGTCTCGATTACACCCTGAACAGAAACAGATTTCCGCCGGGAAGATAGACTACAGATGGTGCCCGCTTGTACTGGCCAAGACTCGATGCTTATTGGCTGCCTCAAATTGAGCACCTATTCTTATTTTCACAACAGTTATGAGACTGTTGTCTCCAGGTTTGCGTGTGAGCAAGTTCCCTTAGGGATGGGCGGTGTGGATACACACCGGATCAACCTCTGGTGGAGAGGCTGATGTACGGAACGTTGAGTCGAGTGTGTGTGTGAGGCAGGTGGGGATCAACCTTGTGTTGAAGCAAGGTTCAGCATCCAACCTGTACTGACTCTATATGTGGTAACACCCCGAAGGTAGATCTCCGACAGGTCATCTGACGTCACAATCTACGACAGTCTGAGGTGGCATTCACATCACCCCCCTATCTTCAATCTTGGGGCCTGAATCCGGATTGAAAGATACAAGAATGACATAAATACCTCAGATTGTATGAAATTGTGAAGTACTGATGAAAAACACCAGTTAAATGACTTGGGCCGAAACGTACGGCGACTATCATTCAACGAACGGTAGTGTTTTGTAGTTATGAAATTTGGAACGTGTCACCAAAATATCTCATCCGAGCATCGATCGTACATAGCGCAGTCACCACCACAGCTTGCACGAGAGCAATTCAGGAATTTTGGCAACTATTCCCGTACGACGAACGAATAACTACACAGATGACGAAAGGTGTACGGAACATGTCACTTCAGTCCGCCTCGGCGCTGTAGGCAACATGTGATCTACCGTACGACGAACGACGTGTGTACAGAAAAAAACATCACTCCGGTGCGCGTCTTGCACCGATAGTAGTGCAAAAAAACTGTACAATAGTGCCTTGAGACAACGCCGTGAACTGCTTGGTAGTTGCACGTAACGAACATCCAGCAACGAAAAATAATTTGACATTGCACATGTGAAAGACGGTTGCTTGCAAGGCTTAAATTTCACAAGTGTGAATGGCAAATGACGTGGGTCGACCCGCTGGGAAAACGTTGCTCAAACGATATGCAGCGGCAACAACGAACGAACATATGTGCACAGCTCGTGGAGAGCTAACGATACGACCTTCTCATGCGATCGCGCAATTGAGAGGTGCTGCATAGACGAACGACGACGAATGGTGATTACGAGTACAGCCAACGATGTGCTGTAGTATGGATTTGACGCAGTAGTGGAACGAAAGTCTGGTCCTCTTGTGCTTCCTCTTGCACGGCCAAGACCACCATCTACTCTTTCGCGATGGACGACACGCGAGAAACAATGTGTGGGATGAAAATCCAACACACAAACGACAAGACAAATCGGGCATGACGAAACCGTGTGAACAATGCAAAAGTGCATGAATCCAGAAGTCGATTATCAATTGCAATTCCCCCAAGCTGCAAGTGAGACGATATCACCCCCCAATTCAGGACGGAGTGGACGAGAAAA